GCTGATCAAGGAGCCGTGTTCTAGAAAGCCACGCTATTTGTTAAGGTTACATTATGTCCATTTGTTTAGTAAAGTTCTATTAATAGAAAAAAATGATTCTGTTTCTACAGTTAGTTACATGATGTTACAAAGCACATTTTGCATATGTTCAAGTCATTGGTGTAAGAACCCATAATCTGGAATGAACTGTGTTCTAGAAATATAATCTAAGAAAACGTGTTAATCCACTGTATTGTATTGAGCAGGCAAAAATGAAAAAAAAGAAAATAGGCTATAAACACACTCAGTGGTGTATTCTGGTTTTGTGCAGCCCTAGGCATGACAAAACTCAGGCACCCCACACCCCCCTTCCAAATTTATCTTCTTGACAGACACACACCCTCCCTGATGCATGCACCAACATATACTCACTGACAGATACACAGTCATTGTCACACACATTGTTTAACCAACACACTTTCACTGAAACATACACATTCACCGACAGACACACATACACACTAACTGACAAACACACACTCACCGACAAGACACACATGCACACTCACTGACAGATGCACACTCAGTGTCAGAGATCTACACACACTGAGACACACATATACTTACTAACAGACACACACTGGCAAACACATATATACACTCACTGACAGACACATACACACTGATTTACACGCATACACTCTCAGTGTCAGATACATACACACTGACAGACACACATACACTCTTACAGACAAACACATACACTCTCAGTGACAGACATACACACTCTTTGACAGACAAATACACACTCACTAACAGACACACTTACACTCTCACTAACAGACACACTAAAGTACTCACTAACAGACACATGCTAACTTACTCACTAACAGACACAAGCTAACACTCACTAACAGTCACACGCTATCACTCACTAACAGTCACATGCTAACACTCTCACTAACTCTCACTGACACACAATAACACACACACTAACAGACACAAACTAACAGACACACACTTACAATTTTTTATAATGTCAAATCAATTCAGCCTCCATACCTTTGGGAGCTGGAGCTGATTCTTCCCTGTGGTCCAGTGGGGCTGGCAGGCAGGTACAGGCATGTGAACGGTGGAGGAGGGCGGCGAGGGAGCTCTGATCCTCCTGCTCTGGTCCCTTGCGTGGCTCTCAGTGATGCCGGGGCTGGAGTGACCTCATATTTCGGCTCCGGCAACACTGTGGTGCGCGTGAGGGAGCCAAGCAGGAAGAGCTCAGGAGAGAGTGCTCTCTCGCTGCCGGTAAACAGAACAGATGCCAGCCTCGTGGCTGGCAAGCCGGCCACTTCTTGAGCCCCCCAGGACAAGAGGCTGACCAGGCATCTGCCGGGGCATTTGTGGGGTGGCTTCTTTGCAGCCCCATGAAAGTGTCACCCAAGGCAAATGCCTGGTCAGCCTCGCGCCAGATACAGGACTGCGCACACTATATCGTTTATAGTCTATTTAAGCAACCTGGTATTACCTTGTAAACAAACAGAAGAATGTCACTTAAATAAGATTTAAAAAAAAAATACATACTCTGGGCACAATTCTTTCTTTATGCAAAAAAGGTACATAAAATATTGAACACAAATTATGCTACACACTCCAGATATTGCACTTTATTTAATCTGCTTCTTCTTGTTGAAATGTTAATATTTTAAAATCCAAGTAAAGAAGCTAATCAACCCTTTTAAAATGTTTTGCTTTTCATTTTCCTTCATCAGTAAAACATGCACTCTAAACGTCTGTAACACCATCCAACCTGCTTGAAATCTCAAACGTTCTAGACGTACTTCCAGTTTCTTGGGGTCAACACAGGCAAGTTCTGTAGCTCAGAATGGAGCTTACTTTAAACTACTTATTTTATCGGTACATGGATTTATCAATGATTGCAGTAATTACATAATAAACATTTTTATAAAACTCTACCCAGACTCTTTTTCTGGCAGACAAACGCTTGTAACTCACTTTAATATTGCAATTCTATAAAAGGAATGGGTCAGTTTGATCATACGTGTATGTGGTTTGTATGTATTGGGTAACTACACTCCACTTCTTGTTTCCTGGTCACATTTCACTTCTACATTCTGTGTACCTCTTTTATGACTAGGGTCAGCTGACCGCTCTAGCCAGTCAGCGACACCCCAGTACAGTGGCACTCCGCACTACATGTAACTCCGATTCAGAAAAGGATGCCCTCTGGGGGTCCTGGAGATTGGTGTTGGAGGCAGCCTTTGGGGTTAAGCTGTTCAAGAATGGTTTAACCCCTTAAGGTAAGACAGCGCCCAGGGGCCAACTGGCACCATAACAACTTAATTTATATTAAGTTGATATGGTGCCAAGACTGTTCAGTATCTCAAACTATAACTCCCATTATGCTGTCCCTTACTTTTAACTTGACAGATTTGGCAACACACTGTGTAAAACATTTATAGCAGGGCAGGTTTTCACAGAAAACACAAGACGCAGCCGAAAAGCGAAACCCTTGCATCGCTCCTGTCAGCAGCTAAGTCAGTCGAGTGTTCTTGTTCTGCGCTACTCTCTCTAATCTTAGCTTCCCTTTCAATGCTATTCCATACACAAAAGACAGTCCATAAGACATCCACATTTCCCTGTCACTTTGTAACAATGCTGGTTTTATAAACACGTCCTAATAAGAATGCCTCCTCTTTTTTTCCGCCTGATATGCTTTTACAAAGAAGCTTATGTTACACAAGCTGCCTATAATTCTCTGTGCTCAATTCCCTTCCATCTGGAAGGCTCCTAGAACCGCTGAGCTTTCATTTCAACCTACTTTAACTGTAGCCTTTCATGAACCATCACTACTGGCATGTCAAATCTAAGCTTCGCTTCCCATGTTAAATACTTCCAATCTGGCTCTTCTTTCAACACAGTCATATTTGTTTCATGATGGGCATTTTTTTTTCCGCTTTTCTTTTCGCCCCCTTAAACCAACATTATCTTACCATAGCTTCTAAGCCCTTGGGCCGTACAGACGAGAAGCACAAGGGAAGAGTCAAAACTTCACAGACCTTGTGTTACAGTGCAGCAATCAGAAAGGCATGCTCTAAGTCAGTGATGGCTAGCTTTGGCACTACCATGTGTTCATCTCTGAAATGTTCTAGCAAGAGTTAAATGGTATTCTAGCAAGAGTTAAAGTGCTAAATTTAACTGTGAAAGATGAATGACATCACAGGGCTTCCTAGGCAGATGACTCCTTTCTACTTCCTAAAATATTGAATTAAAATCCACTGCTAGAAAAGGGGTTAATGATAGAAATTCCTTTATACGAACTTGTTAATTAACCCCTTCAGGACGGAGTCATTAGTACACGTTCTGATCAAAACAAAATGTAAACAAAAACTGGAATTTGCGCTATATGTCTGTTCAACCGTTATTCACCTCTTTCATATTAAGTGCACCCACACTTATATATAATTTTGTTCAGGAGAAACAGGGCTTTAACTTCTCATGAACTATTCATATATGAAACATAACTTATTATGATTAAAAAAAAAAAAACTGTGAGAAAGATTTAAAAAAAAAAATGTAGTTCTGCCTGACATTTTAGCTGTAAATGTCATGATACGGTTTGCTTTTACTGCAATAAAATGCACATATTTGTATTCAGCAAAGTCTCACAAGTAAAACAGTACCCCCCATTAACAGATTTTACAGTGTTTCAGAAAGTTACAGGGTCAAATATAGCACATTCCATTTTTTTCACATTAAATTTTGCCAGATTAGTAATGTTACCTTTGAGACGGTGTGGTAGCCCAGGAATGAGATTTACCCTAATGATGGCATTCTATTTGCAAAAGTACACATCCCAAGGTATTGCAAGTGGGGTATGTCCAGTCTTTTTTAGTAGTCACTTAGTCACAAACACTGGCCAAAGTTAGCGTTCATATTTGTTTTTGTGTGAAAAAAGCAAAAAACTAATATTTGGCCAGTGTTTGTGACTAAGTGGCTACTAAAGTGGCTACTCCAGTGGCTGACTGGACATACCTTATTTGAAATACCTTGGGTTGTCTACTTTTGCAAATGGTATGCAATCATCGGGGTAATTCTCATTCCTGGGCTACCATACGGTCTCAAAAGCAACATTACCAAACTGTCAAATTTCAATGTGAAAAAAAATGAAATGCAAGCCTTATATTTGACTCTCTAACTTTCCAAAATACCATAAAACCTGTACATAGGGGGTACTGTTATACTCGGGAGACTTCACTGAACACAAACATAAGTGTTTCAAAACAGTAAAACATATTACAACAATAATATTGTCAGTAAAAGTGCTGTTCGTGTTTGAAAAATGCAAAAAACTTCATTTTACTGAAAATATCATCGTTGTAATACAATTTATCATTTTGAAAAACTAATATTTGTGTTCAGCTAAGTCTCCCGAGTAAAACAGTACCCCCCGTGTACAGGTTTCATGGTGTCTTGGAAAATTACAGGATTAAATATAGTGCTTGCGAATTAAATTCTCTGCACTTTCTGCCTGGGTTGTCAGGTATGTCAATCAAATTTTAATTAATAAAATAACGTAATTATGCTAAAAGATTACTTAAATATAAACATAGAATTTTAATATATATACATATATATGTATTTAAATTCTATATGTATACTTATGTATATATATATATATATATATATATATATATATATATATAGAATGTTATTCTAAGTGTATATATATTTCTTTACATTTTTTTAGAAAATATTTTATTTATTTATTTTATTATTGTATTTATTTATTATTGTAATTATACGTGTATATATAAATATAATATATATGTATTATATATAATATATATCTTATAGGAGAGACTCTTGGTACTCACCCTTGCTATTTCAAAAAATGCAATCTTGCCTGGGTGCAATCCTCAGCGTTTAGCATATAACGAAAATCAATATATAAGGAGCACTCACAGGTCTTCATCAAAAGTCTGGTTTATTCTTTGGTGCAAATTACATGTGCAATCGACGTTTCGACCCTCACAGGGTCTTCTTCAGCAAAGTCACAAAGAAGACCCTGTGAGGGTCGAAACGTCGATTGCACATGTAATTTGCACCAAAGAATAAACCAGACTTTTGATGAAGACCTGTGAGTGCTCCTTATATATTGATTTTCGTAATATATATCTTATATATATATATATATATATGTAACGTCAGTCTAAGTGTATTTTAATGCTAATAAATGTACTTATATTAACATTAAAATACACTACGTATGACGTTACATATATATAAGATATATATATATTATACATATATATATATATATACACACATTTATTTTATTTTAAAACATGTCTAATTATTTATTTTTTTTACATTTCCCACCAGCAAGGGGACTGTCTGACATTTCAGACAGTCCCCCTGCTGGCAGATCTACTGCCAGCTATAGGGGGCCATGTGATCGCTCTTTGTGAATACCTTTATTTGCCCTGATTTATTTTAATTTTTTTTAAAGTTTTTTGTTGTTCTCTCTTTTTTTGTGCTAAGGGTTAACAATTATATATATTACATTTTTTGTGGATTATTGTTTTTCTTTAGCAACAGATTCTGTAGATTAGGGAAGAAATGAAACTACGATAGATAAAGTAGAAAAGCAACATTTTAGCCGAATGTGTAAAAAACCTAAACGATACAGCAATCTGTAAGCGTGGTGTCTCCGTCACAGATGGGGTGAAAGGAAGAAGCTAGAGAGGATCTTTCTGGTGGGACCTGACATCGCTGCAGCCTGCTTCGAAACAGAAGGAGTAACAGAAAGTGTGAAATTACCAGCATGCCTTGCTGTACTTCATGCTACTAATCTCAAATCCCTGATCTCTATGAAGGATTTACTTACAGCTCCCTCCGTATGGCAAGGAGGAAGAAGTAATGTAAGGACGCATGCTTTATCTATGACGACCCGGTGTGTTCTTTGTTACAGTATTCTGGGTAGATGACAGATAATAGCTTATTAATATATACATAAATGTGTAGTTTCATACAAATTGTTTAAAGAATGTTTGCTTTTTTATAACTCCAAACATTGTATTTCTCTTATTTGGGAAAAATTAGAAACTTAGGAACATTTGAAAGCCAGAAAAGATAGGACAATTGTGACTGTCATCTCACCGTTTTAAAAATATGATTCAAATATATTTGAAATGTCTCATTTGGTTTACCTGTTCATTAATATGAGACAAAGTGCTAAATGTGAGCCATATTATTTGTTTCCATGGTAACTGCAATTTAATTAGCAGTTTCCTCTAGTGTACCACCTGTTTTGCCTTGAGAAATTGCTTTAATCTCTAAATAATATTACACATGTTTAATATAGATTATATTTAGCATGCTTCCCAACCGTCCTGATTCTGGTGGGGTTCTGTTTCGCTGTCCTGTCCTGACTTAGTTCCCTGGCATCTCACATTTGAGGACACCAGGGAACTGTCTACAACAAGCATAGTGCATGCACATCATTAGATGCGCTCACTCTTTACTCGGGCCACTAGGAGCTTGTAGGGAGGACTGAAACAGTATTACCTGGAGGGAAGCCTAGTGTGCATTTATGCCAGGCTGACCTGCCAGTTAACTGTGTGCACCAACCCCTTTTTGGAAGGTAACACCCCTCTTACATCACTGCCCCCCGCCCCTCCTCTACTTCCCTCCCACCGGCATCCCAATTCTATGGACGCCAGAGTTGGAAGGTATGATTTAGGAACTATTAGGATACACATTGCTTTTGAGTTGGATAAACAATACTTGATGCATTGTTGCGTGGAGGGCTTTATAATGACTGATTTCTGAAAAGAAAATTTTCTAATTTAAATAAAAGAAAAGGTCAGCACTTATAATAATGATTGACTTATAAACTAAAATTGTGCTTAGAAGATCCAGGATAGAGCTAAACACAGTCCTCCTTTATCCTAAATGGCATTACATTGTTTCTCTGTAGAATCCAGCCTGTGGGTGGGCATGTTAAATATCCCAGGACTTAGATTTCATTACACACCATTTTGGAAAACATCCAGCCTAGTGATTTTTCCGTGGCTCACTAAATGCAACCATTAATTTGCACTTGTCAATTTAAACCATACCACTAACTAACAAAAAAAAATGTTAATGCTACTGCTGTGTCTCTCTCTTTTGTAATTTAAACTATTCGGTTTAATGCTATTGTTCATGTTGATTACTCTTTGGTCTGGGATCTTGGCCAATCTGTAGCAATTCAAACCCCATAATTTAATTCATAACTAGGTGTGCCTTTCTTGTAAATGTAATTTGTTCATGAACACCTGAGCCCATTAGCGGCTCAATGCTGAACAAAAATTCTTGGAAAAAACCCACACACTTTTTCCCCTTTGCTATAGATGATTTGCATTTAATTTCCCATGTGCAAAGCACAACCATCCATAAGGCTATTTTCATGCAGCTCAATAAAATGTTGAATCATCACTCGTAGGATTTTCATAATGAAAAGTATAGCATTGGTTGATGGTTTGCCTTTGAAAGATATGATGACGAAAAGCTCAGACCTTTACTCAATTACTTTCAATTATTGACCGAGTGATCATGAAAAGAGATGGTCCTTCTGATGAAAAATGCAACTTGTAACATCCCCAGAAGTACATATTTTGTAACAGCGGTTAAGTATAGACAACACCTGACACAGAGTGTTTGAACAAGGAATCAGATTGTTCCACGCTCAATCAGTTTTTGAGGTTCACTAATGATGCACGTGGCTTCCCATGGATTCCATGCCTTTTTTCATGTAATGTGAATTATTCTAAGGTGCTATGCATATCCAGCATAATCCATCATAAGGGGCTCAAAATCAAAGGTTTCTAGTGGCACATAGTCTTGCCATTGGTTCTGCTCCATTTACAATTAAGGACACTTGGATATATTCTCAAGGCTCTGTTTCACTTACTATAGGCTAAAGAGGGTGTCGCAAAGACAACTACCCTCAGGCAGGCACCTGACTTGCTTCAGTCTCAAATCACTATTTGTAAGCATTTGACCCAAAATAATTATATTTGTCTTAACACCACCCACACCTATTCTAACCATAAAACTGCCAGTACCAGATAACTATAAAAATGGGGAGTCCTAGGTTACCCCAAGCAAATTAGATTAATTAGATTAAGAACTCACAAAACAAAATTTAGCAAAAATATCAATGGATTCATGGTACTATTTTATAAGTATTTTTTGGTAGTGTTACTCATATACCAGACAAAGGCAGAATTTAATAAAGGAACAATCATTATTAACAAAGTACCGGTATTTCTGTCCCAAGGGAGCATTGGTATAGAAATAGCAATCGATTGCAAATTCAATTTGGCTCTCAAAATGAAACACAATGTTTTTTAGGTTTCAACAGATTATATACACTTTTAAGCTCATTTCAGGTTCTAGGCTGGCCATTTGAGGGGGGGCAAGAGGTCTGTAGGAATTCCAGTTTTATGAGGGACAAATAATATTTTCCAAAACCTGACTAAAGACATACAATGCAATATATTAAGGTACAGATACTCCCAATCTCTTTTTAACCAGGTCAAATTATCTCCATGAATACAAACAATAATTAACTAGAGACCAAACATGATATACATATATATTTATTTCATACATGATGCTCCAAAAATAAAAAAGCATCTAAAATCACTTCCAAACCTATCATTTGAACTTTCAGTATACATTTCAAATAGACTAGTGCCGTTGAACCGATTCTTTCAGAAACAATGAATACACACCTCACTAAATGACAATATTTTGACCATGAATCATACCCACTGGGTACAACCCAGGGCACCACAGATGGAACATGGGAGATATAAAATTGACTATAAATGTTAGGACACTTCAATGGCTACCAGTCAAGCCACAAACAGACACACAGATTAAGGGTGGAACTTGGCAGGTATCAAAGTATGGACTATAAACAGCAAAGTGATTATTATATGATGTCAATCACACTCAAGTAGCTATCCTCCGTCTTACTAAGCACTGTATGCCCACAGACATGTTTTTACTTCATTACCCATACTGTTTGTGTATTTAAAATTCTGCTATTTTATTCTGCTTATGACCTCTATATAAAGTATCACCAAAGGCAAATATCATGTTAGTTCTATTATTGTAGATTTCTAGGTAATTAATAACCATTCTATTGCAGCTAGGACTATACATTTTATTTTATGAACGAGTTAACATTCCAGATCCCCATAGCTGATGCCACCCATCAAGATTAGATTAAGAGCCCTGTGGCAAAAGGATTAACCCCTCTGAGACCAAATGTTGACCCTAAAGCTATGCAGTTCTGCAGCTTTACAAATATGGTCTATTTTAGAATAGAATTCTTAAAGAACGTTATGAAAGCATACACTACCATTGGTCTTTAAAAATTTCTAAGCAAAGTTTCTAACATTCTCAGTACCATTACAACTTTGCATAACTGTAAAGCTGATGGCGCATGAGACCCCTGAGGCAACGCTCTGAGAAAGGCTTAAAGGGACTCTCCAGTTCCAGGAAAACAAACCGTTTTCCTTCCACTGCAGGTCCCCTCTCCCTCCCACCCCCCCATCCCAAGTTTCTGAAGGGGTTAAAACCCCTTCAGTGACTTATCTGTATACAGCGCCGATGTCCTTTGGCGCTGGGTCAGGGTCCGCCTACGCTCCTTCCCCGCCGACGTCATCCGGCGGTGAAGACCTATTGAGCATGTGCGGCCGCCAGCGGGGGAGACCTAATGCGCGTTCGCATTAGACCTCCCCATAGGAAAGCATTTTGAAATGCTTTCAATGCTTTCCTATGGGGATTTCAGCGATGCTGGAGGTCCTCACAAACATCATGAGGACGTTTGGTGACATTATAGCACACTTTTCATGTGCTATAAACACGGAAGTGCCCTCTAGTGGCTGTCTAGTAGACAGCCACTAGAGGAGGAGTTAACCCTGCAAGGTAAATATTGCAGTTTATGAAAACTGCAATAATTACACTTGCAGAGTTAAGGGTAGTGGGAGTTGGCACCCAGACCATGCCAATGGGCAGAAGTGGTGTGGGTGCC